TAAGTAAGTAAGTAAGTAAGAAAGTAAGTAAACTTTATTTCTATAGCACCTTTCACAGATACAAACATCACAAAGTGCTTAACAGAGAGCAAAATAACTAAAAATAAAACAGATCACAAATATAAAAAAACAACAAATAAAACACAATAAAAAGCACATTAACTAAAAGCCTGTCTGAATAAAAATATCTTAAGATGTTTCTTAAAAGAGTCAGAAGAATCTGAACAGCGAAGTTATGCAGAATCTGAAAACAACGTTATGCAGAATCCTATGAAAGTAGCTCAGAGTATGTGTTGTAAATGACTCTCAGCTACTACCACACCAAAGTTAGTCTCACCATCTGTGAAAATGGCTGAGTTATAGTAATTTGTGTGTTTTAACGTCAACTGACTGTGACGGCCATTTTGAATTGGGTTGACTCCAAAAGGTCCTTGTAGATGTACATTCAGTGATTACATTCTGGGAGTTTCTTGAAAATGTGTCTGGTTGTTCATAATATATTTTGCTAACAGAAAAACATTGCTGAATCCAGTTGACGGCAACATTTTAAACAAAGCCATTAAATAATCTGTTAGCCCTCAAAATATCTTCATTGGGGATCAGTCTCAGATAGCTACTGCCAAATCAAATTTAAGCTCAATTTATTTAATAATGATTGAGTTATATTCATGTTTTGTGTTTTTATAAGATCTCTTGGCTGTAGTAGGTCAGGTTGAGACCAAAAGTTAATCAGCTGCAGATGTACATCCAATGATTATTTTATGCAAGTTTCACTGAAATCCATCTGGTGGTTCAGGTGATATTTTGCCAACAGACATCCAGAAACATGCACACACAAACATTATCACCTGCCTGGTTGGCCATGAAAATAACTGAGCAGATTCTTATGTGGTGGATTGGAGAGATAATTTATCAAACTGTGCTATATTTTAATTAACCTGTAATCAGATGCTGTTTGATGTTTAGGAGCGAAATGTAAACAAGGCATCGAGTAGGAGCTTCTGTGCTTGAGCAGCTGCTTATTAATTATCATTTGGTTGATAGAACAGTCAAAGATGGGGGKGGGGGGGGTCAGGTAATAAAGAACAACAGGGTGAATTACAAGAAAGAAAATCGAAACAAGAAGAAGTGTTGTGTGAAGAGAGACAACGACACTGTCAGAGGAGAATCGAGGTCAGCTATCGAGGTGCATCGATGCTGAAAGAAAGCAAACTGAAGTGGAAAGCTTGTGCTCTGATTTTCCTCAAAAACACACAAATACACACACAAGTAGCCAAATTTGTGGCTAGCCACAGAGTGACAAAATACACACTGTATTTTCCAGGCCTGTTGATCAGCCAGAGCTTATCGACAGCCTGAAGCAGAAAAAGTATTTCTGGCATTAGACTGTGTTTGATCTGTTCTATCAGACAGGCTCTGCTGAGTCTGAGTCCTCTTACTTTCAGAGGTCACATTTACTGCAACACCAGCTGTAAATAAATGGAAAAATGATGTGCAAGCTCACAGCCCAACCAAAAGAGAGAAAAATTATTTATGAGATTAATTTATACGGAAAATAAATGTGTTTAATTTTATAATATTTAAGAACATTTGTTGCATTGCATTTAATAAGAGTATATTAAAACTAAAAAAAATCTTTTTAAATATTTATACAATTAATTAATTAATTAATAAAAAAAATGACAAAATATTTTAAATGAAAGGACTAATATGAAAAGTGTGGGAGGAGAGTAGTCTGAATTGGGTTCTGGAGCGATGCTCCACCTCACACATCGCACTCATTCTGCCAGCCGCGAGTGATTCCAAGCCCRCGTGCACCGCATTCACCAGCGGACGCTGAGAAACGGCGCCCGCTAGCTTCTTCTGCGAGTTCGTGCACGCCCTGGCCAATTCTTTCTGTTCGCTCGCTCACCCGAATCAGGTGATACCCTGCAAGGGTAACCATTGGCTCCTGTCTCAGACCTTCCCCGAGGTGATTGGTTGAGTGACGAGCACTCAGTTTGTGACCTCTACAGTGAGCTTCCTCCCACAAGTGCTCCACGACAAACTGCTTTATAAAATACGACTCATGTTTCACCATTCTCACTTACGGTGCAGAACAAGCTTATAATTAAAATGTGTTAAAAAATAAGAAAAGAAACAGTGATAAAGCTTCTAAACTAAATCATTTGTCGTACGCTTGAAACAAAAGGAAAAAAATAAGAATCGTGATTTTAAAGATCCCAATGCATTCTGGGATATAATGCGTCATCGCTCTGACGCATTATATCGCCAAATAAATAACATTTAATTCCAGTGAACTGTGGTTTGGAGGCCTCCGCTTTTCGAAAGCTTCTGAGGTATTTTGCTCGTTGTTTATTTTTTGTAGTTTATGATAATTTTAGAAACAACATTTTTAAAATATCAGTGAATTCCCTCAAAACTATTATTATGTTAGGCGTTTGAAGAGGCAGAGATGAAGGAACGTAAACGCTGAAAACAAATATAAGCTATATTTATAAAAACGTAGCTACAAAGGAGCGATATTGCTCCAGATCCATCTTGTTAAAAGTTCCAGTTATTATGGTCATGTGGTAAATTTCCCACAATGCCTCACGGTTTTGAACTACTTTTGTGTACCTTTTTCGATTAAAAAGAACAAAATATTGTTTTAAAACTATAGACACCTTTTTAGTTTTTGTTTTGTTTTGCCGTTTTAACAATTCAGTTGTAAAAGTCAATTTAAAACACCATAATCGTAAGTATCTGCGTGTCAACCCTCTATAAAYACAACGCTGCTCCAAGTGCACATCCGGGCATTTAGAAGGTTTGCACTCTGGGCTACAAACTGGGAACCTGGTTTCTCTCTCATTGCCCAGGGGAAAGTCCCCGGACCCGTGGCAGAAAGTGCCCTGGTTGAATCCAGCAAGGAGTCGTGCTCCACCACCCCGAGCCAAGACGCTCACATGAGCAGAGCTCAGTGTGCACAACTCCGGTTTGTCAGCACATTATAGCCATGCAAGCGTGCYAAGATGCTTCAACACAACGGGGCTCATTCTCTGAATGTCCACTTTTTTTACTGTGAAATTTCAAGGAAAATTATCTAAATGATTTTCATGGAAAAAAATTACTTGAAAAATATTTTTTWAAAAATTACATGATAAATGGTAAAAAAAATGTCATGGATTTCTACGGAACAATGTTGTCAAATGTCATAAAACCTGATTATCCCACATGTTTTTAAGAGATAATCATGAAACTTTCAACAAACGAATCTTCTAATTATATAATAATGTAATATAATTCTTCTAATTATATAATAATGTAATATAACAATAACAATATTATGTTGATCGGAATAATAATAAAAAAAGTTATTTACCCCAACAATTCCTATTTCAACTACTGGAAATTATATTGTTAATCCCATAGTATTACACTTTGCTGGTGGAAAAACACAAACCAATTAGGTTGTTATATTAAAAACATTTTTTTTTTCACCTTCAGAAAAGTCAAATATTCTATGTTGGAGAAAAATGTCTAAAATTTGCCACAGCGAACAGCTGGATGACAATAGGAATTCTTGGTGTTTGCTTATGATCAATGCAAACTCATATTATTCCGCCAAGTTGTTGTTTTTTTTTTCTTTCAGCATGGATGTTCCTTCTGCAGTGGTCACCACACAAAGTGAACTCTGGATGTGCTCCCTTCACAGACCACCGAGTTACAGTACAGTAYGGTTTGCATATCTACTTAGTCAGAAACTTAATTATAGGGTCTTCTGGGGTCTTACGTTTAATGACTTTTTCGAAAAATATATATTATTGTCTTTTTTTTAAGTGAACAATTTAGACGTGCTTAGATCGCCATCTTGTGGTTAGAAATTGAACATGCAMCCTGGGCATCCTCAACATAGGCAAACATATTTTAGTGTTGACTGAATTATTTTTGTCATTTTTATTGTGACATTGTACTAAAAGCTGCCTATTTAAGGTAGGGATTATAAAAATAAACACAGCCGTTTTATGTTTTCAATTTTAACACACTCTTTGTAGACCTACTTGTTTTCTGTTAAATAGTACTTACTGCACATTTGATTTATCACATATAGATCAATGTGTCTATTCATGTCCTTATAGGGTTGTTTTAAAACCCCATAAGCACTGTCATTGTTTTCCAACATGACACATGTGTGTCCATTTACTTTGGTTTCACATGTCTGAGAACAAAGATTCTCTGCTGTGCTGGTACCACTAGAGGGAGTAACATCCCTGCATCCACCTGCATCCATCCCTGAACACACACACACACACACACACACACACACACACACACACACA